AAGAGTGGAGAGAACTAGCTCGAGACAGAGAAAAATGGAGGGATTTAGTGATGGAGGTGAAAACTCTTAGAGTATTAAGAGCCAGCTAAAGAAGAAGAAGAAGAAGAAGCTGTTTTCCTATGAAACATATTATTTCGATTGAGATTTTGTAATAATCGCAGAATAAATCATTATGTTAAACACAGATGTTTAACATCTTCARGTGGTAGTTTCAAGTTACAATTTAAAACAATAATGGGTAGACATCATAGCCACCCATTTTTCTTTTGAAGTGGATAAAGAAAATATAGTTGGCGCCCTATAAATATATTTTTCCCGCGACCCTTAAAGGTAGCCAGTACGGGCAGTACGGCCTCTGATTTAGATAAAATCCCATATTTAAACGAAGAATAACGATGTAGGTACATTGTTTTTTTGTAATTTTAAAAAATTTGTTCATGGGAATTAAAATATTTTTTGAACTATTGCGATTCTAAACGGTAAGGTGGTATTGGCTAAAAAGTTAATATTAAATATCTGCAATATAATATTATGGCATAGATGTATGAAGATTATATCCACTAGAGTAGTAGAGTTAGGAAATTTAGATATTGTACTAATTATTATTATTTTACTATAAATTATAATAAATTCAATGTTTTCGGTAAAATAAATCAACCTATCTTTYATAATACCAACAAAAAAATAAATTTSTTTAATAGYAAGTAGCAAAAAACATCTAATGAAATAAACTTGACATATTTTTACCGCTGACAAACCATATCCRCTTAGAATCAGTTTTCGTATATAATAATACATAATTTAATTCAAATTTAGGACATATRTTACAATTTTCAATAACCCACTTACCACTCAACATCTACCCATCGTTAGTATGTGGTACCCACTTTCCTACCTTTTTTTTGTTTGTTTCATTTTTTAATTTACGTATTATAAACTTTTAAGTATTATTAATCTCAAAAAATTGAGTTTTTATCATTGAATTCAAATTTTACACATCAAATACACTGACCCACAAGCCACCACCCACATGACACATTTATGTATAGTAAAACGGCACCCACTTTCCAAACTTTTAATACGTAATATTATTATAATTTATAGATAATAAGCACTTGGTGGAATTACATTGAAATTATTAGTTTTCTTTATTTACATTCAACTTTTACTGTCGTTTTAACAAATCCTATGATAATATAATACTGCATCATTCATAAATCTAAGATAATATAATAAATTGAAATAATGCCTATGGGTACCTAATGATAAGTAAAAGATTAATACWATTCAAATACATAATACTATATTCAGTAAGTTAGATAATACGTTTTAAATACCMCCAAAATTCATACTGCCTATAATATRTATACCTAATGAATACTGAATAGGATTGCTCGATTAGTGATTACCTCGGATACCTACTTATAACTACATATAGGTACCTACTTATACCTACTTATTTAACATCCACTATTTAATGGTTGGTGATTAGTCACATGATGGTGTAATTTTGGCTTGCTAGAAAGAGGGGCTAAGATTTAGTTTATAACCCTAGTTATAACTATAGAATATTAGAACAAAGGTTCTCCGAAACGCGAAATTTGTCTTTCCCCGCGGCCTGCACCATTAACATCTAAATTAACATATTATTACTAATATTACGTAACCTGTTATCATTGTCGCTATAAAATAGAATACAATCACTTCTAGTTTAATTACAATTTACAATACAAAATCTATAATTTAAATGAGTTAAAGGTTCATAATTTAATCATATACACCTATCGGCCATCTTGGCATCCTGCTTAGGAATTACGTACAAAAAACTGAAATTAGAAAAAGAGTGAAGACTTAAAAAAATAGGGRGCTATGCAATTTTTTGGTGGGGCTAAGCTCCACGATTTATGCCTATGCACATGATATTAAAACTTCATAAGCTATACATCTAGAAATATAGGTAGGTAACTAGATAAGTACCGATTTATACAAATTACTACAATTAAGCAAATGATAATAGTGGTTGAATTAATGTGTTCATGTGGAATATATAAAAAACATTATTTAGTTTTATTAAAACATTTCGGACACAATCAATAAAATTCACAGAGTACCTATATTATACAACACTTATGYCATATATAGTTTACGAGTAAACCTACTTATTTAACATCCAATCACATAATAATATTAACTCTTCAGCATGTTCTGGAGATGATAAGGATCGGTGATCACTGATCAGTAATGACATTACCAGCACAACTACACGGTTTTTACGGTATACCATTTATTTGGTATTTAGGGTTTACAATTTATTCGGTTTTCACAGGTATAACGGTTATTCGGTTTTTTTACGGTACACCGTTTAGAAAATTAATTTCAAAAGACCGGTATACGGAAAATACCGTCAGCCTTAAGCTACACCTAGAAATATAGGTAATAACTAATAAGTATCGTTGTATACAAATTTATTATTGCAACAAACAATGCTCATAGGTATTCTATAATGGTTGACTTAATGCTTTTGTATTGATGTTGAATATAAAATATAACATCATATTTTGGTTCTAATAAAAATATTTCTAACACAATACGTTTGCATWCAGCAATTAAAAATCGTAGGGMTGCTAAAAATATTTGTTTTATTAACGACTGTATATATAGGTAGGTAGTAAAAGGGAACCAATGMGCCAATAACATTAGGAACCTTATATAAGGATCTACCTATACTTGTACATTAGTAAATTATAACAATATATTCGACTTCCAACCTCTGAGTCAGTAGTYGGTAGGTACTTTGGTAATGCCAATCGTTGCATTGTTTTATTGAAATCTATTAATACGTAGCCGAATCTCAAGATGTTCTGAGAAATATAAGATAAAAAAATAAAACAAACAAGTGCAGGTACCAAACATCAAATTGAAAACAATAACARAACGTAGGTACTGTARGTACCTACAACTACTGTCAACTTTAGACCTGTGTTTAGTATTATATTAATATATTATAAGTGTATGCAAGTACCTATCTTATAATATTATTACGATTATTTTTATGTAACCGACTTGAGCCGAGATTACGGCTGTTTTACAGGCCATAGTGTCCACACCGCCGTATCACAGTTTCGAGTGTTGTTGGATATTATTTTTGTCTATTTAAAAATTCAATTGCTCTGCACGTTGCCACTTTGCCAGTTTGCCRGTATTCATAAACCGCTGGTCCGAATACCGCCGCCGGGCCGACACGAGAAAAATCCCTTGGAACACCAATCGTATTTTTGAACAGATGCAGATTTACGCAGTAGCAAAACCGTGGTACATACACACAATATTATCTCCCAGAGAAAAAACAACCACGGTAGGTATATCAATAAATATTAAATTTGTTTTTGTGATCGCTTGTCAATAAATCTGTTTTTATTACTTTCTATATAGTTTTTACTTTTTACTCTCGTCATCGTGGGTGGACGACGAACAATGTTATAAYATTATAATATTTGTATTATTATCGGAGTGTAAATGTTATTTGTGATGGTAGTGCTTTGAAAAAGTGTTCTATGATTTTTATATTATAAAAACAAAAATCAGGTTCCGTTTTCAAATATATAATTTTTTTTAAATACCACTGGGCATTGGCGCCGTGGCTGTTGCATTTTAGATGAATATAAAAAATTATTGTTACTTAGGTTGTTTTTATTTTTCGTTCGTCGGGTGGGGAGAACAGGTTATTGTGGACTGTGGTACGCAGTAGTAAAGAGGAGTGGCAGATGCGTACGAGTAGTTCGAATTGTGATTTGTGACACGGAATCACTATTCGRTGTTCAGTGTGTTCACTACTTAAATAAATGCTTACACTTACACTTACAGTCACACACGTGCGTACACTCGGACTGCCATCGTTTCGTTAACATGTGCCTGTGCAGTGTTCGACGTCCGTTGCACGAGTGAAATTCAACGTTTAATGCTGCAGTAATATTGTTATACGAGAAGTAAGTTTTCGACCATATTTATAATAGATATATTATTATATTACTGATATAAGTAGTTAATATATAATGTAACATACAATAATTAGTCGAATAAAAATAAATAGGTAATAACACTATTTAGTATAACGATGTTACCTATGCCCGCAATATCCAACAATGATACCTTATATTAYATTCACTGCGATTCATCCGTATTCGTCCATTTCGTATATTCCAAATACTTACCTATATGGGTTATATTCGATCTCGAACCTACGTACCTGTAATATGATTTATGATTGATATTATTGTATTTAATAATTCTTTCTTAGACACTAAGACACTGCAAATATAAGGTAATACAACTAATAATTTTTCACTTGCCTAGTGGTCTGTTGTCTGTCTGTATGTATACAAGTATTGACTATTTACTATTTGACTATATAATATATTCGACTGACGATTGTGTTGTAATATAATATAGCTGTCGTAGGCATATAGTCAAAGAATTTAATGTTTATGCAATATTTCACTATCCGCCTAGACATTTAGTTAAGTGCCTAGTCATTTGACTAAATGCCT